AAGCTTCGAGCGACCATCACAGCCGCCAAGAAAGAATACCAGACAAGCCAAGTGGAAGCAATGACATCACCGTCCGATATCTTCAAGCTGATGCGTTCGATAAACCACAGATAGGCCAAAGCCCCTCCGCCACTCAATCACAACGGAAAGTTCATCACGGATCCGTTAGAGCGAGCTACCATTCTCCGAGACGCTCTTCTTGCACGTCACCAACAATCGGACGACCTTCCTCCATGCAACACCCCCAGCGATAACCGGATACCTTGGGAAGGTGAAATCTCAGATGAGGAAGTGCGAGCATGTACCATTGGCTGTGGAAAGACAGCACCAGGGGCAGACTGAATCACGGTTGAGCTCCTCGAGGCCTGCTGGAAGAAGATCGGACCGTGTGTTACGCAGCTCTTTAGAGGCTGTATACGGTTGGGCATTTATCCTTCGTGCTTCAAACTGGCGGAGGTGGTACTACCGGAAAATCCAAATAGGGACCCAACCATGATTAAAGGCTGGAGATCTATAGTCATCCTCTCGTGCATAGGCAAAGGGTTAGAATGACTACTGGCCAAGCGAATGGCGCAGCTCGCAATTACCTGTGATGTGGTTGGCCATCAACAATTCAGTGCGCTCCCAAAGCGATCGGCAACGTACCTGATCTCATACGTAGTCCGTGACGTCGAACAAGCTCGCTCCCAGAGTTGGGCCTCAACTTTCGTAACTTTAGACGTCCAAGGAGCGTTCGATGCAGTGCCCCACAATCGCTTGGCTAGGCGCATGCAATCTCAGGGATGGCCAGACTCTATCCTCCGACAGACGACTTCATTCCTCACACATCGGATGGTAAAAGTGCGTTTCTCCGGCGAAATCACCACCCAGAGAGAGCTAGTCTGTGGAGTCCCCCAAGGACCACCAATATCGCCATTACTATTTCTTCTGTACATGGCGGAGCCAATGAAAAGTGGTACCCCGGGATTGAGGTTTAGCTACGCCGACGACATTGGAATTCTAGGGTTTGGACGCACAATTGCTGAATCTGCCGCTGCCGTACAAGGTGAGACAGATCATCTTCTCAAATCGGCGCGGAATAATGCTGTTGACTTTGACACGGAAATTTTTGAAGTAATACAATTCCCAGGACGACGCCGAGAGGAAGCAGTTCGTGTTCATTTAAACGGAAACCTAATAGAGCCTGCGGAAAACGTTCGCTGGCTAGGCGTGAATCTAGATCCACGACTCAACTTTAGACATCATGTAACTACGTGGTGCGGTAAAGCAGTAAAAGTTGCCCAGCACATGCGCCGCTTCAACTCTTCCTTTGGGGGAGCAATCCCCGGGCCATTAGCCAGTGCAGTAGACATGTGCGTTGTCTCGCCATTAACTTTTAGATCTGATGTCTGGTAGTCAGAATCCAAACGCCCAACTCCACGAGGAATAGTCACGTCCTCAACTTCCAACCTGTGCGGCATGATTGACAGAGCGAACCTGATGGGGTTGCGGGCTGCACTTCCAGTAAAGGGGACTACATCAAATGTAGTCCTTCACAGAGAAGGGGGAATCCCGCCGGCAGAAGTCATACTAGAGGGAAACTGTCTCCGGCTTTCGGCAAGGCTTAAGAACCTTGATGATAGATACCATATAAGGATCTGCGCTTCCGGGTGCTCGAATTTCCGCATCCGAAAATACAAAAAGACTGCCAAGTTCTTAGCCAGACCAGAAATCCAGATGTCACGATTACAGCGTGCCTATGGAGAGCTTCCGGAAGCAGAAGCCCCTGAAAGTCTAATTCCGATGGTTGAACGACGGAAATCAGGCTCAAAGCCAATGGAACGCGAAGATTGCGTTAGATAGACTAGCGAGTTGCCAGGAACAGACATATGCGCATACTCGGATGGCTCAACAAAAGGGCACCGACGCTTCGCCTTGGGCTACCTTCTGAAAAAGGATGGAAAACTCATCGGCAAAGGATGTGGCATCAAGCACGGGGGAGAGGTGTAAAGGGTTTAAAGAATTCAGAAGTACTTGAAAAACTTTAACTCAATAAGAACTGATAATTCTTCCTTAGGAAGCTAATCTGCCTACGACGGCTCCTGTCCTTTATGTCCTCCTCAGCGTCGCGTTTAAGCTCCCCTCCTAGCCTACCTGAGAATACTCCATTCTCCCCGGCTACCCTCTTTCCTTTGACATCTTCCCCCCCTTAGTACGTACTCCCTTGGGTCCTTCCTCATGCGCAACCTTGCAATTATCCTTATGCAACACTGAGACTCGTTCTTGTGCGCAACCTTGCATTCTTCCCCATGCAACCTTTCGCGTCTCTGTAAGCGCTGCTTCGTTGGCGCTTAAAGATCTAGCCGGGTTGGTCCTAGTGACCAGTCCCAATCCAGGCACAGCCCGTAACATGAGGTGCCGGATGCAGAGATAATTGGAACAAGGAAGGCTCTGGAGGCCGCATTGGAATTCATGAAGGACAAGCAGCCCAGGAAAGGGGAATTAGAATGGTTCCGGAAATGGTAAGAATGAAATACCAAGTATGAGGATGAGTTAGAGTTATGATGAGTTTGTTTAATGTACGACGAAGTTTACTGATGTTTAATGGATAGTTAATTGTAAAGAAATGGTATAATTCTACATATGTGGCGAGAAGTCCCTCTATATGCATGACAGCGGGGTTTTCCGCACACTAGTGTGAACTCCAACATACTTCCTAATCGAACCTAAACTGGAAGGTTGTTTGAGATCCTGAAGCCAATGTATTCTGTCAGGCATCTATTGGCTAATTGATATTTATGCCAGTGAGTGATGATATGGGTTAATCATATCTCATGGCGCCAGTGCATATTATTCTAATATGTACTATTTGTCTACCGCAGTCATGTTGCTGCCTTAATTACAACAAGGGGGAGGTCTGCGGCAAATTCACGTGTTTCTTGAAAGCCAACAGGCTGTAAGTGCATTAATGACGGCCTCATCCTCAAGTAGCCATGGAGATGTACGCAAATTCTGTGCGTTATCTAATAAGTCGGAAATATCAGTGAAGTGGGTTCCAGGACTTGCAGGAATCCTCGTTAAAGCGAGGACTTTGTTACTCAATCTCTGGTCTGCTGAATCTACAGTGAGAGCTGGAGGTTCGTAGGGGACACCACTGACAGGTGTTGAGAATAGCTCTCCACAAGATTGAGGTGTTCACACACTGATTTCTATTTAATACACCTAAACACAGTAACCAAACGTAATTTCACTGATCACGCATCACAACAACGCGGGAGGATGGTAAGACTGAACACTTGTGCGTGGTGTACTCTACGAACCTGGGAGTGAAATATTTTCCCAAAGCCAAGTTGAGTCAAATTTCGCAATTCAGAAGAAATTGGCCTAGAGGCTTTGATCCGTGACTCCCTACGAAATCAAACTCTCCCACCCAACGAGATCGATCTCTAACTAAACCTCATCAAATTTACAAGAACGATCTATTACATCCTCGTTTCAAAGACCACACTTCTCATCGACTATTCTCTAACCTAACCTGGTCACCAAATACACACCCCAACGATATTTATACCTAATGGAGGAAGCACAGCGTGGCACACAAATCTGGGTGAAATTTCTTTAGGATGGAAGTAGGAGGGATCAGGACGGGTTCACAAGACGACACGGAGGATAGATACAATCTCGACGAGCGTGACATTTTGAATTTTGGCAAGAGATTTAAGAATTGAAGAGCGCTGTACGCGTCACGACTCCGGTTTCCAGAACGCAGCTGACACTATAAAAACAAGCCGACGATGGAAAGTGCCGTGGTCCGCCTCCTAGGGGTATTCTTCGGCTTAGTTTGAGTGGCCTGGGCACCTAATTTACTTGGGAAGGAGATACCTCAGTCCACATTCGCGCGGAGAAAAGGTCATGGTTGATGGAGGCATGTCTGGATAACTCGGGGTTTTGTGGACGTCCCCCTGGATGGATATTCACGGATTAGGTCTGACTTGGGGTGAAGAAAAGTTCGCCATAACTTCGCAGTGGTACTTGTAAATAAGATCCGAGGCATGAGTGCTCTTCTTGTATATTGGGTCATATTTTATGTACTTTTTCTGAGAGATTGTGTCAAAGCTAGATAGCTACATATGCCATTAAAATATGATGCAAAAAAGAATCTCTATTATCCATAGCAATCCTGAGTACCAGTAGAAGTTACTTTTATACGTTTCGCTTGTACGGGCCAATAGCTAAAAATAGGTGTTAAAAATATTTACTGATGAACAGACAGGCAGTATAAACACTAACTTTAGAGATTCACCACGAAAAATCCACCGTAACCTGACTAGGGCCCAAAGCAGTGTCGCCATTCAGCTAAGAAGCGAGCATATAGGGCTCAATTCTTAGCTGTGTAGAAGAAAAGTACCCGGAGCAGGAAAACCAAGCTATCAATGTAGATTTCCGTCGCAAAACGTCAAGCACATGGTGTTGACGTTTCGTCAGCGGGCAAATGGAAGAGGCGACTTTCTCCGACAAGCTAAAGACAGGTCATTTGAAGCAATGGTGGACTGGCCAGAAGATGTGGCTAGAATCATACAGTGGATACTAAGCAAAGGGTGGATAAAACAGTTTCAACTTGCAGGGGAAGTCGAGGTAGCCATGCGGATAGAATAAAGCGATCTGGAAGAGGAGAGGACACAATCCGCACTGGCTTAACAGTGTACATTACTCTTCCTGAAGGAAAATTAAATTACTAGATAGGAATATTAATAGATAGGATTAGGGGGTTTCCTCCTTTGTAAATAATGAAGATAGTCACTTGCATTCACCCATAGGGTGCCTGATTGGGTTAAATGAAGTCATTTTCAATTTTAAGCTATCAATTTCAAATGTTCCATAAATCACTGTAATAAATAATATTTATCAAACCAAAATCGACACTTCGCTTGCCCAAACCAAATCAGCCGCCTACATTACCGTGGCATCAAATGGCTTTTGAAGTGCTCATTTGAAAAGAATACAGTTTGCTATCTTTGTCTTCAGTTCACGCTCTTAAATGGACCAATTAATCCATATGCTGGTGATTCAACAAACCGCAGATTTCTCGTGCCAAGGATTTCAAGTTGTTGTTTGATCTTCAGTTCTATTTCAGAAACCTTTTGAAGCTTGAGTTGCTGATCATTGGATGCTCGTGACACATTCATGAAAGTAACTTCCTCCAATGCAAATTTAATCTCTTTGATCTCGACAAAATGATGGGTTAAGAAGGATCTCAAATAACGATAGTAGCCGTCGTCGTCTGAACTAAATTTCATCTGGTTCCAAATATTACTCTCCTCGTTTTTGTGGAATGCATTTAATCTACCCTCAACCCAAGCCAGCGCACTTTGATCACCCTGGATGTCCGACGAAAGAAGAAATTTACCGTCAAGTACCACATCGGATATATCAAACACATTGTCAAGCCAATTTGGCCTAACGTAATCCCTGTCAGGCGTAAGAGTTGTATCTCTGGTGTCTAACCATTCCTGATAATTCAAACTATTTATTCGAGTTATAGCTATATCCTCTTTTTGCAAGAGCTCACTAGTGTGATGCCCCCAACTTTTCGATAGGTTCTTGTGTTTATCTTTGCTAAGTTGGAGACCTCTTGGTCCTTTCGAAATACCCTGATGAATGATATCTTTGTATCTTTCGTTCAGCTGTCGAGTGTTCCGGGAAATATACTTCCCTAAACTGTTTAAGTCTTCTGATGGAGAGCAGTAGACTGCCATATACGTGCCGGGCCCGTTGGTCGGCCTCGCAGCCACCATTATGTCAGTGCCAGATTCGGCACCTCGGAACTGTCGTATTCCGTTCGGGTGGAAAGCTTTATAATAATCACTGTGCCGATCGATACCCATGACGGCCAGGCGGTCATTATCTCTTGCTAGATCTCCAGCTAGCAATAGAATGGCGAGTAAGCAGTGCATCGTTGCGAATTAGATGCCGATTCTGATCTGTTCTTTGAGTAATTAATGTTTTTCGCTCGACCTATTGGCGACTCACTCAAGAATTAAGGGCTTGGGCGCGACTTTTGATTTCAACGTCGCTCTTTAACTGGAGAACAAAAAGAGTGTGGTGTATCCTGTGATATAGGGAGATGGGTTAATTGCGACGCACGTTGGAAAGTACATATATACAGCGACGGGTCACAGGTAGAGATGATCCGCTCATTTACCCGTTATTACTTACTGGTGCTTCACGAGTAATGATGAATGGTGTTGAATATTCTTTTGCAATTCTATCTTGTCCAAGGCTTTGTGAATAATTTTTGAGCGCTTTTTTCTGTGGGTCAGAAGTCTTGTATGATGTATGGATTGCCTTAATGTAACGCAACAAAATAGCTGCTATCCAGCAATAATATACTCGTTAGTCTGTAACTGTGTACAAATTTAAGGAAGCCGGAATTTCCCCGACGCGAAGTTTAATTGGTTTAAAATTCTTTTTATTGTCCTCTCTGAGTCTTTGACTATGTAGGACATGCAGGTCCTCTCTGCCTACAGGCCAAGGATACCTACTCCAGCAGTACATCCCTTCACATGCCTTTCATACAGCTCCCCTCAACAGTACCACCCCTCACAAGTCCTCATTCGATCATACACTTAGAGGAGCCCTTTGCCCTTCATGATCTCCCCTCTCCAGCCAACGAAACGATGGCCATTTGAGGGTGTAAGGCAGCCGGGAAAAATCGCAAAAACCACTGGGTGCGGGGCTCTTCGAATACCGACATTAGGGCTAGATCCGAAGACATAGTGATACTACTGAAGTGTCGAAGAGGCCAGCTAGCTGGGCGCTGCAGACTTGTGGATACCTCGAAGAATTCATACTCTGCCTTTCTAGCCTCCTTACAACTCCTTCCCGAAGGTCGTGCTGAAATGTCAGAAAAGTCTTGATAGAGTGTGATTGATGTATAGTAGCTCAGCCCAACTTCTTTTGTGCCGTCCAGGGCGCTGGGGAGTGCCGTTGACTCATCGACAAAAAAAGCCCTCCTGGCTAATTAGCCGAAATCTTAGTCTTGGCGCCCACAAAAAATCCAAAGTTGAAAACCCATCGAAAATATCGGTCCCAGTTTGGTCTTCAGAGACCTATTCCCCCACTCGATCCACCTCTTAGCCGCCTGTCATTCCTCAAGATGTACAACCACACTAGAGCATCAGTCCCCCATAAACCAAGACCCCAACTTTGTATGTTATGACTTAACTTTCTCCTTGCGGGTATACGTAGCGTCGTAAATATGTAGTCAGTGATGGTCGGTAATGATTGAGGCAAGCTCCTGTTTGCAATTGGGGTGACGCCTTTATCGGTCGTCGAGGCGAGATAATGCGTGGTTAGATCGAGGTTGAGGATTCAGAAGATAATGGTGAGTGCTGCATGATTGAGAAGTTGTCAAATGGAGACATGCATGTGTTTGCTTTCGACTTTGATACGGATGCGATTCTTCTTGGCTATCCCAGATATGCAGAGCATATTGAGCGATTACACCGGCACCACTGGAAGGTGAAGAATTTGACTTTGCCGGAAAGGTGCGTCAAAGCTGCGCTGACTGGCAATTGCCTTCCATGCTATCTCTCATTGTCAGGGGCTTTTTCTAACGAGCGAGGCAGGAATCATTGTAGCTAGAGATGCATTAGATATAAAGGATTCTAGAACGTGATGGTAAGTGGAAGTGCCTCCTGCACAGCCTTGCCACCTATTAAGGCTCTAATTGGTCAACTTAAAGTAGTCACGGCCGACCACAACAAAAATTCGTCTATACCAGGACAGCTAAATGTACCGTGTCCCATGTATTCGCCTCATTTGATCGCGAGATCTCTTGTTCGAGGATCACCCAGCTCGGTGTACTTGCTGTAACCGACAAAATACGCATCATGTTTTTCCTTTACAACCTTGAACGGCAGGTAACCTTACACCCCTCATACTTCGGTCGAAACATGCACGAATTGGTTACGGGCAAACTTTTGCAGGACGTCGAGGGAACATGCACGGGTCGATATTTCATCATCACCATTATGGATGCCTTTAATATCTCAGAGGGGCGGATTCTACCAGGTAGCGGTCTCGCCGAGTTCACAGTAGGCTACCGTGCTGTCGTATGGAGACCTTTCAAGGGCGAAACTGTGCAGATTCTTATCTTAAATTTTAAATATAAACTCACCATACGCTAGGTTGATGCCATTGTCACATCAGTCAATCAGGTTGGATTTTTTGCGGACGCTGGACCTCTCCCTCTCTTTGTTTCGGCTCATGTAAGTGCTTACATCTTACAACAAACAGTGCTGATTGATGGCAAAGCTCATTCCGCCTGACATCAAATTCGATCCTAATGCGATTCCGCCCCAGTTTACAAATAATGAAGATTCAGTCATCGAGGTGGGTACTCATGTGCGCGTGAAATTGATTGGCACTAGAGCAGAGGTTGGAGGCATGTATGCAATTGCCAGCATCAAGGAGGATTATCTTGGGTATGCGCTGGACCCTACCACGATATCAAAAAAGTTTCAGATTTTTCTAATAACCACACTAGATGCTTACAAGCCTCGTGATATTAACTCACGGTAGCATCGAAATCTAGGGCATCCACAAATGATCTGTCAGTCGTTAATTTGAAAGTGAATATTTTCGTTGGAGTATCGGCGCTCAGAGGAATAGAATGTATTTAATCGATCCGATACCCTGTACCAGTGGAAAGAGGTGACAGCCTACTCCGCACGTCTAGCGTGCTTCTTTTATAACTTCATACCACTCCTTTTTAATTGACTTCATATAGCAATTTTATGCCGGTGGTATGTTTCGGATAAATATCTGGCGCAAAGTTCTCAATAATGGATATGCCTGATCTAGGCTATGATAAAACAGGACTTATTTGGGCTAATCTAGAGGTAAGAGTTAGTTCGGAGTTATAGAAGCTAGATTCAGATCAAAAGTCACTGGTTTTCATAGAAGTCAATAGTTTTAAAGTGGAAAAAAAAATTAATTTGAAGAGCAACACGCGAACTATCTCCTTCCAGATTGAAATGCCAGGATGCAGAGTGGAGACCAGTCTTTCTTGTTTTATAGCTAACTCATGGCTTCATAACACGCTGGTGCGGCAGTGGGTTGGCGATGATGACACTTCAAAACTTGAAAGAGGTATCGGACGCTTTCGCTGGGCCTTTGTATCAGAGTCATTTTTACGACTTGTCTACAAAGCTGGATAGGTAATGACTCCTCGGAGTCTAATTTGAAAACTAAATAAGACGCGTTTTGCGAGCGCGCCGCATGAAAGAGCCCTAGGTTTCCGCCGATATCAGAGTCCTCTAGGCGAAAATTCTACGTTACCTCCAGCATTTTGCAAGATTTCAAAGAAAATCCAGACAGTGTTATTGGGCTTTCTAATTACACTAATACTATCGTTAAGCGATATAATTGCACAAGGATGAGTCGACATTGTTAGGTGATTTGGCCAAGAAAGTCTTCTCTATTCAACATTAATGTCCAAATTATCGAAGAATAGCTAGGCATCTCGGCGCCTGCCGCTCATTTTCCCGCCTTATCCTAAGTCCATTTCGCTTGCAGCCATGACTTTACAGACATGAGGCTGAATATTTGACAATGAATTTCGTTCATGGCTCCGACAAGTTTAGTCGTGAATAATAAATTTAGAACGTTATAGAATTAGAGTATCGTCAGAGATTCAAGATCTATGCCTTCTCCAGGCGCAACTACGCTTGAGGGACAGATATCTAGGTCGAACCATCGGGGTCATTTTTGACCAAGGACCGAAAAATTCCAGTTGTACAGATATTTAAAAAGGGGCTTTCCTAAAATAATGTAGGTAGTAGAAACCCCTGTAGCTTATATTTTAGCTCGGCAATCAGTTGTAAGGAGACAAATAAAAATTGGAATCTATAATTTAGGTAAGATAAGTCTAACAAGCGGACTGGCAATACGGTAGTAAATTAATTTCCCTTGCAATAGTTAAATTAGTCTATAGCTGTATAGTGTTCCTTGTTATTACTTTGCTGTTGATAATCATTTATACCCCGATCGATTTTTTATCTCATATGTTTCTCTTCATGCGAAGAATGGTTCAAAATTTGTGAGCGATCCTGGAACCACTAGAGTGTTCGAAAACAAAACAACCGTTTGCGACTGACGTTCGTGGAGTAATAGGAACTGTACTTACGCTACCTAGGGGAGATAACAAATCCTAAGCTGGCAAAGAAAGATTATTCACCTTCCAGTGGTGCCGGTGTATTCGCTCAGTATGCTCTGTACATTTAGAGTAGCTAAGAAGAATCGCATCCGAATCGAAGTCCAAAGCAAACACAAGCATATCTCCAGATTGCAAATCTGAATACTTGTTTGCTGTGTCCTCTCTGGACATGAGAGTGGAATATTCTTCCAGAGCCATTTTCAGTCAAATTTCGCAATGTTAAAGAAGTTGGCCCAAGAGGCGATGGTTCAAAATACTCCACCATATCAAAATTTCACTCCCAACGAGATAAACTCCTACCCAAGCCTCGTCAATTCACCAAGTACTACTTAGTATATCCTCATTCCAATGATCACAGCTCTCATTGATTATTCTTTGGCCTCAACTAGCCACCAAATACACGCACATGCCGATATTTACAGCCTCCGGAGGAAATATATCGCGGCGCACAAATCTGGGAGCAGTTTTTTGGGATGGGTGTGAGAGAGATCAGGACAAGTTCGCAAGATGATGCAAAGGATGAATACAATTTCGATGGATATGAGACTTTGAATTTTGGCTATAAATTTGTTGAATTGGATAAATTTTTGTGCGTCAAGCCTTTGATTGCGAGAGTGCAGTTGACACTATGAAAAATAAGCAGATGATGGAAGGTGTTGTGGTCCGCCTCCTGGTGGTGTTCTCCGATATAGTCTGAGTAGCCTGGGCACCTACTCCACTTGGGAAGGAGACATCTCAGATTACATTTCGCGCGAAGAAAAGTTGATGGATGACGGAGGCATGTCTGGATAACTCAAGGTTTTTGAGATGTTCCTCTGGGTGGGTATTCACGGATTAGGGTTGACTTGGGGTGAAAAAAAAGCCACCAAAACTTCGCAGTAGTGCTTGCAAATGAAATCCGAGGCATGAGAGCTCTTCCTTTATATTGAGTCATCTATTCTGTTTTTTTCTTTGATATAGTGTCATAGCTAGATAGCTGAATACGTAACTAAAATCTGATGCAAAAAAACCTTGACTCACTGGTCATTATTTCCTTCATAAAATTAATGATTAATACCATCCGACATGTTCCCGGTGCATACTCGGTACCTGATAATGCCATGGTGTATAGGACAAAATCAGTCACTTTTATTGCGAGGGAATTTTAGATGGATATAGGAACCTTGTATGACTAGTTTTATTGGATAGATTGATCCGCATTAGGAGAGGATGAAATTTACCGGTATTTATTGAGCTAGTTGGCTATTCATCACGGAGATTTTTCCAGAGCTATCTTTTTCGTAACGAAAGAGAAGAAGGGTACTGTACAAGGAGTACCCTGTGTCACAAAGGAGCCCTATTTGCTAGGTAGTGATTGAGTCAAGCTGGACAAAAAACCAACCCAATTCATTCATAGTCACCATTATTGGACGACGACCACCACAGAGCTTGAAATTACTGCACAGTCCGCACCAGAGATCAGTCACGATGGAGGTCAGAGTTGAATCTATTTCGTTCTTAATGATAATATACTAGTCACATTTCGAACTTTAAATAAATCTAACTTCTTAGAAACAATATTCGAAGGCTGGCGCTATAGTGAACTCGTTTCTATCAGCACTCAGCGTGCAAAGAAGCTGCAAATGATTGAGAAATATCGGCAACTATGTCGTCTATGTGCTCTGTGCCAACAGAGATACGGATGAGATCCTTGAATATATGTTTAGAGAGTGATATAAGAGGAGGACGGACTTTTTTACCTCCGTGACGCCCGAAGCTAGCCTTTCAGATTCTGACATTTGTTCATGGGTCGTAGACCACGGGTGAATTGCGAGGGTCTTCGAGTCGCCTACATTAGCTAAATTAGAAATCATCTGGAAGCCGTCAACTACTCGTGCGGTGGCGTCTATATCCTTGACGCCAAAAGTTAATATGCCACCGAAGCCACGATGCAAATATTTCTTGGCCATCCCGTGCGATCGATGAGTCTCAAGCCCCGGGTATGAAACCCAAGCCACCAAGGGATTTTTCTCTAGCCAGTGCGCTAATGAAAGGGCATTTTCCCCATGACGTTCGGCGCGCAAACTAAGTGTCTCGATGCCCTGTATCAATTGGAAAGCCGCAAAAGGGTCTAAACAGCTTCCTAAATCCCGGAGAATTTCGGCTCGCACACGAATAGCAAAAGCCTCGCGACCAAAAGTGTCCCAAAAACTTAGGCCGTGGTACCCCAAGGATGACTCAACTATCTGTGGAAATCGGCTTCTATTCGTGCCCCAATCGAAATTTCCTGAGTCAACGATAACCCCACCGATAGTAGTACCGTGACCACCGATCCATTTCGTTGCAGAATGTACGACAATATCTGCGCCATGCTCAATCGGACGCACGAAAAATCCTCCAGCTCCAAAGGTATTATCTACGACCAGAGGGATCCCATGGGCATGTGCGATATCCGCTATAGCCTTTAAGTCTGGGACATCTAGTGTAGGATTTCCAATTGACTCTACATATAGCGCTTTTGTTTTTTCGTCAATTGCCATGGCAAAACCTTGGACTGTTTCTACAAACTTTGTAGTTATACCAAATCGCGGAAGGGTTATTTTCATTTGATTAAAGGTTCCTCCGTACAAATTTATGGATGAGATGATGTTTTCCCCAGCTTGCGCAAGTGCTGTAATTGTCATGAATTGAGCGGCTTGGCCAGAACTTGCTGCAACAGCTGCGACACCCCCTTCTAGAGCTGCGATCCTTTTTTCGAAAACATCGACCGTGGGCTGTGGTTTAAGCCTTAGCAATAATATGATAGAACGAAATAAGACTGTCAATTTTTAATTATTACATCAACTTTGAGTTCGCACCACTCAAGAAGGTGTAATTTTTGATTAGCGATAAATTGGTACGACTCACGTTACGGATCCGACTATACGAGTAACCTGTCTCGCCTAGACTAAAGAGCTTTGCACCATGAGCAGAATTATTGAAGGCAAAACTCTAATCTTCATATTTAGTCTTTCGGTTGGAATTGTCATGTGTATCAATACTTACGCTGCTAGCATAAATAGGGACTGCTCGTGCATTTGTGGCCGTATCTGGTTCGTAACCTTTAATTTAGTTAGGGGTGAGTATTAAACCTTAGGGTCAGGACCGACTCACCGGCATGTAATTGCAAAGTCTCGAAGTGGTTTGTCGGCTTAGACGTGTTACCTTGAGTCTGTGAGTGTTGCATCGGTACTACAGCTGATCTCGCGATGTGTCGTTCCACGCTTGGCATACACGGTCTTTCTTCAATGAACAGGCGAGGATTTTATCTTAAATTTGTTTAGCTAGCCGGGTGAGGCCGAAGATTTAAACTTGGTTCAGTCTCAAAAATAGTATTTTCACCTTGGAATCAAATTCACCACAAGCGTTGATGCCGTCGGGATGATTAGGGCGATACCCGGGTAGAGCAATTTTGAAGTCAGCTCTCTGCATAAATAGTTTGTCGTCGTAAAAGTCAATGATAGACTCAAACTCAGCCTATGTCCGTACCCCTCGGCCAGATAAAGAGGCCAAGCGCAATTCTGAGCTTGAAATTGTATCGGGGAAACTTTAATTGCGTCCCCAAAAAGCCAGTTGTAACATACAAAGTATTCCCTCGGCTTCCCCACTCCTCAGCCCCATGGCAACGCGGGTTATCGAAGCCTTCGCGAATGCAAGGTCAACACTAATTCGCGGGGAAGGCGTAACAAAATCTGGACAGCGAAGGTTCTACGAATAATTCCATGACTCTCTGAAACCCGAGTGACAATAGTAGCCGCTCAGGATGAACGTGGAAAAATTTTCTCCAGCGCATCAGCTTAAACGTTTTCCGCCAGGCTCGAACATCAAGTCACAGGCCTGTATCCAGGGAATTGGGCGCGATGTACTGCGGTGGATATGATGATCGTTTCAAGTTAGTTGAAAATGCCCTTCTAGTGTAGATTTCGAGGCACGAACCGTCGGCGGCATGCCACGTTTTCATGCACTTCCTTGTTGACATGCATACTGCATTAATGGGACGAAAGAAGGGTCTAGTGTGTGAAACATTCATACCTTCTGACATAATAAGACGAGCGGTCGGAAGTTGGAGCTGAAGTGGTAGGGCTCACCGACATGCTTCGGCGATTCATATCACCGTGCGACATTCTGAGGTCGATTTGTTACCAACGTCCAAGCAGAAGTAAGTCCCTGACATTTTTTGACAACCAAGGGGGTCATGCTCTCACAGAGTTTACAACATCAACCTCTCTCCATGATTGTTTCACCAATCCATTCTTCTCAAGATTGCGCGTCTTAGCCTTTGCTACAACCGAGATCCCTGATACTTTATCCTTTGAGATATCTACTTGCTACTTCTTATCCTTCAGATCAATACAGATATCGTGTTTCTACAACTTCACCTCATTTCACCTTCTAGGCGTCTGCGACTTCCAAACTTAGTACCCCCCTTCCGAGCGCACTGGCTGCTGTTTCTTCCTTAATTCCGACCTAGATAAACGATCGATTAACCCACCATAATCATCATATTCATTTAATTCAACACATTCTAACAATGGCATTCGGTTTACTTCTTCCCCTCAGAATCGCTCAAGGCGTGATGGCCTTATTGGTCGTTAGTCTATCATCTTATGGTACGTACAAAATTTGGGAAAAAATACAACTATTGACCTTGTTAACAGTCGCACATTGGTATGATGCGGATACATTATCTGTCTCTCCATCGCAAGTCAACTTCCTGGTGTTTGTGCCGATATTCTCATTCATCTCTATTGCCTACCTTGAGTTGGCGCCACGTTTTGCTCCAAAGGGTAAGGGCTGGAATCAACCGCCTTGGGATCGACAGATTACTAACTTTAATAGCATCTCACCCCTTTGGTCATCTTGCCTTTGAGGCACTAAATGTCCTGTTCTATTTTGCTGGATTTATTGCTCTCTCAGCGTTTATCAGCAAGCTTCTATTTTGTCGTGGTTCAGTCTGCTCCGCTGCTCGTGCCGATGCCGTGTTTGCTTCATTCAGCTGGCTACTATGGACCGGCTCTACAACTCTTTTGGCCCTCGAGGTGTTCAAGGGTGGTGCCAGCGGGGAAAGAAACGGTTCAAAATCAATGAAAGAGACACCTGCTGGCTTAGGTGCATAATCAGATGACTTATAGAACGGATGATAGGAAAATAGAAGCAGAGCACTTCTCCTGAATCTTGATATGTGGCTAGTATAACAAATATTTAATGTTGATCGTTTTGAAAAGTCTTGATGACTCGGTATTGACGGAGGTAGTACGTGTACTAGGCTGTTAAATTACATGGTGTTGTACGCGGGTGATTTATAAATTATATCTAATGGTAGAGGAGGTCAGAGAGGGTATGAACGCCCGTGGGGAGACTAGAACTGTTAATTTGTCTATATAAATCCTACATTGCATATGAAGAATTTCCTTGACGTGATCAATTTAATCCTCAATCACAAAGCAATCTACATTATCAATGACCTGACGTCTACATGTGTGCAGATTATTTATTTCTGGAACTGTATCACTTAATGAGGGGATGGATGGCATACAAGCTGTGACGTCAAGATACCTAGAATAAGTGGGGTGTCCACTTTGAGACAAAGCATGTGATGCCCAAAACTGACAGGCGGTAAAGAGAAAGAAACATGACACTGACCAAGTCCGCCACCTGCGTCGACCTTGTTGGCAGAATCATCGGATTACAAAGCAGGACAGCTTATAATTGAAAGAGTTAGTACAAGTGTCTCATGCCACAATTACAAAGGACATCTATTTTTCCAAACTCTACATCGCTGCTCACTGGCCCTGTCTCAGTGTAATGTTGACATCTAAGAAACCCATGTGTTTATTCGAAAATTCTATTAACTATTTATAATATTTAACGTCTTGCCCGGGCACAGCACCTAAGATTTTCATGTACCGGTTATTTTTTTTTTAAATCATTAAATGTGTATGCAGCTATCTAGCTATGACACATGACCAGTGCCATGTATACACGTGGGATGACTCTTTTGACGTTAGAGACACTCATACACTGGATTTCATTCGCAAACACCACTACGAGGTATGTTCGCTTACACAAACAGTCAACTCTCCTCCGTAAGTACCCACCAAAGGGAATTTCAAAACCTTTGGTTATCCAAGCATGCTTTCGTCATCCATGCATACTAGCGCCGTGAAAGAGGTGGTTGTGTTTTGCCGGATTTGAACTAGCGATCTACTGTCTCGAGTGGGATATGTGTCCAAGCTATCCAGACTCTACTTGGCAGACCGGCTGAGACGATGTACCACTGCACCATCCAGCCATGGCGATGTTTATATTGTCGCCTGCACTCGCGCAACCGAAGACTTGGCACGCACAAAGCTCAATTTGTAAAAGCTCCTTTCCAAAATTCAGCATTCCACGCCCGTCGAGACTGTATCCATCCTTCGCATTATCTTATTAACTTGTCCTGATTCATCTCACGTCCATCTCAAAGAACAGTCTCCCAGATTTGTGCTCCACGCTTTGCTTCCTCCGTCGGGTATAAATATCGGCGTGGGCGTGTATTTGGTGACCGGCTGAGGCCAGAGAAAGTCGACAAGAGGTGTGATCATTGGAATGAGGATGTACTAGGTCGTACTTGTAGACTTGATGAGGCTTAGGTAGGATTCGATCTTTTTGGGAGTGAAAATTTGACGTGGTGGAGTAATTTGAATCATTGCCTCGAGGGCCAACTTGTTTGGTTTTGCGAAATTTGACTGAACTTAGCTCTGGGAGAATATTTCCATATACCGGTTAGCCCGGTCTAAATTAAACTATCAGACGTCTTTTCTTCATCCAGTACCAACTGCGTAACATGAGATTCGTTGGACGGACTACCTTCATATCTACTATAATCCTCGAGCGCAGGATGATGAGATTCTGGCTTTCATTTGCTTTGTTGGGTCTGTGTAGGCGCCAACACATAGGGTAGTCTTTATTTTATTCATTATTATTTAACTTCGTGCAAGTTCACAAAACAGCCAATTTCTTTGGATTCGAATTTTCGAATCTCCACTTTTTCCCCCTCTCCCTCCCTCTCGCGCTCGTCGCATTCTATAAAATCAATGTGATCGCCGGCAAAGACGAATTCTTCACCTTTCAGTGGTGCCGGTGTAATCGCTCAGTATGCTCTGCATATCTGGGATAGCCAAGAAGAATCGCATCCGTATCAAAGTCGAAAGCAAACACATGCATATCTCCATTTGACGACTTCTCAATCATGTAGCACTCACCATTATCTTCTAAAACCTCAACCTCTTTCTAACCACACATCATCTCGCCAAGACGACCGATAAAGGCCTCACCCCAGTTGCAAACAGGAGCTTGCCTCATTTATTACCGGCCATCACTCACTACAAATTTAAGACGCTATATATACCCGCAAGGAGGAAATCAAGTCATAACATACAAAGTTGGGGTCTTGGTTTATGGGGGACTGATGCTCTAATGGGGTTGTACATCTTGAGGAAGGACAGGCGGCTGAGATGTGGAACGAGAGGGGGAACGGGTCTTTGAAGACCATGCTTGAACTGACATTTTCGAGGAGTTTTCAACTTTGGATTTTTTGTGGGCGCCAAGACTAAGATTTCGGCTAATTAGCCAGGAGGGCTTTTTTTGTCGATGAGTCAACGGCACTCCCCAGCGCCCTGGACGGCACAAAAGAAGTTGGGCTGAGCTACTATACATCAATCACACTCTATCAAGACTTTTCTGACATTTCAGCACGACCTTCGGGAAGGAGTTGTAAGGAGGCTAGAAAGGCAGAGTATGAATTCTTCGAGGTATCCACAAGTCTGCAGCGCCCAGCTGGCTGGCCTCTTCGACACTTCAGTAGTATCACTATGTCTTCGGATCTAGCCCTAATGTCGGTATTCGAAGAGCCCCGCACCCAGTGGTTTTTGCGATTTTTCCCGGCTGCCTTACACCCTCAAATGGCCATCGTTTCGTTGGCTGGAGAGGGGAGATCATGAAGGGCAAAGGGCTCCTCTAAGTGTATGATCGAATGAGGACTTGTGAGGGGTGGTACTGTTGAGGGGAGCTGTATGAAAGGCATGTGAAGGGATGTACTGCTGGAGTAGGTATCCTTGGCCTGTAGGCAGAGAGGACCTGCATGTCCTACATAGTCAAAGACTCAGAGAGGACAATAAAATGAATTAAAAAAAAAGAAAAATCAATGTGATCGAGTCACTGGTATTTTCACCATGCCACCTGTTCGAAAAAAGCGTCCCAACGCCAAGTAGGACAACACGAGAGTCCACCCGAGGACTCTCGAAAAAGTACCTGGCCTTGCCCAGTCTCCGAAATGCGCGGAGATGAGCAAGGTCTCAATTAAAGGGAAGGAAAAAGCCCTCCCCGCCGTCACTGAACCCGATACTGACATGATCGGGTCAGTCGAAATTGTTAAAGAAATTCCTCAACGAGCCTCCGTCCCTCACGGGATTGGAGAATCGTCCAAATCTCCTCTGACCAGTTCATAACCGTCGGAAAACGCTGCACCCATAGCAGCGTCAATACCAACGTCGTAGCCAAAAGCTGCCACGGAAGCAGAGTGTCCCCCCGAGCTCCGACCAATAGTCGAAGCTGAACAACGACGCGTCGCCGAAATAACGGCAAATCTGGCCCTCTGCTCCGCAGCTATCTCTGGCATCGAAGCCATCCTTCTCCCTTTGACCAACGAGTCAAATAGACAATTTATAGACTCCATGAGAGTCTACCTACGCGCCGCCATTGCGCAATACATGGACATGGGCCCGGCCACTACGCCATCCGTCCTCCCTCCTCGCCCGGCAAACTGTCCCCCAAGGGCTCCCGACGCCAGGAGCATACAAATTCCCGCCGTCCCAGTGCTGCCTGTAAAAAGCACCTGGGCTACGGTGGCCAGAAACGGACTGCGATAGAAAGCAGTCCCATCTGCAAAGGCTGCGCTGCGACCTCCGACCAAAGCCCCAAAGAAAGAAGCTCCCAAGGCGAAAGTCGACAAGCGACTGTTCCTTCGTCTTGAAAAGGACCACCCGTGGCGAAAACTGTCCACAAGCAGTGTGAGAACTAAGTTGGAGTATACATTCGGCTACTTTAACCAAGAAATAATCTCACTCCACCGAGTGAGAACGGGCTTTGCTATGCTTGCAAAGAACGAAAAAACACGACAAGGACTTTAGATGACTCTTCGATTCTGGCGAGTCAAAACGTCAAACTCGAGGCATCTTCGGATCTTGTCGCCTTACAGATGCCGAACGTACCTGTAGGTATAGTTACAGTGTTCGGCACCAGGGCGGTCGATGCTAGGTGTGTCTCTGCCAAGATTCTCAGTACGACCGGTGCGGTTCCAATCCAGGTCCGACCTCATGGGACATGTCGACCTGGGGCACCGTATCAAAACTGGCATGCCCTTTTCACGCGGGACAAAGTCCCTCGTGCGGGCTTCCGCCTCTTCGAAGAGTCTGGTATGGCTACTATTCACAAGCCTCGTCGCCAAATTGAACAGTGTAAACGCTGTTTGGGCCTCCACGCCACTCGTGGTTGCTCCCGCGCTCCAGCCTGCTGGAACTATGGATCAACTATGCACTCGGAAGCCGAGTGCAGGGCCCTCACAAAGTGTCGTAACTGTGGGGGACCTCATCGATCGGATTCTCGGGACTGCCAAGTCAGACCCAGAAAGTTTGGGCCGGTGACAAAAGAGCAGCTCGCGTGGATACGCCACCTCGAGCAAGGGAAGTTCGCGGAGGCGGCTCGAGCTAGGGCCGCAGCCAAAAAGGCCGAAGAGGTGATCGTCGCCGCGGCGAAGGATGTCGCAATGGCCGAGGCAACAGGTTTCGAAGTGCTGGGATCTGAAAAAGAAGTTTGAGGACACGCCAACCTCGACGATGTTCCCTTTCGGGGCATCTACTAACCAATAGTAGGATACCGGCTGGATGAAAGATGCCTGCTAACTCATCTACTGCTCTCAGCGGAGATCAAGTAAATTTGTCATTTGGAATGTGTGAGGAGCACATTGACTGGGTTCATTATGGAGGAATCTTCTGGTTTTCGGAGTTGTTTAGATTTTCTTGATTTTTCGTTTCTGTTTAATCAGCTGCACTTTTGGTAGCGATTCACGGGGTTGGAA